ACACAAAAATATTGATAATACCGTATTATAGAACAATTATATAATATGATTACATTTCTATATATGATTAGTACCTATAGCATTTATATAATATAATTTTAATATGCATTTAATGATTCGTATTAATCCAAATTACATTTGTTAGAAGCAAATTACTAATTTAACTTATAATTAATAATTTCACTAAAGTGTAAAGTTCTTTCTCCTCTCAATTTTTTGTTTTATCTCATATTAAAAAATAGAAGTGAATATAAGGGAAAAGAATTGAAAAGTCTTATCTTTTCATGGATCTTCCTACGCTCTTCTTATAATTCTTACTACATAATAACCATTCCTTTGAATAAATGTATTATTCATCGCACAAAAACGAATCTGAATTAAATAGAAAAGTAAAAAATCAATTGAATCAATAATTAAATTACACAAAAGATATACAACAAATTTTATGACCAAATCTAACACAAGATCCAAATCGGAAAGAGAGAGAGAGAGAGAGAGAGAGAGAGAGAGAGAGAGAGAGAGAGAGAGAGAGAGAGAGAGAGAAAGAAATCTTATCTTTTCATGAAATTGAGCCAACTTCTACATCTGCAAAGTATAGGAAGGGATTCGAAAGTGGCTGCGGAAGGGATTGCTGTCCCTTTTGTTTCCGCCGAATCAGCAACCTCTTTTTCTTGTCTTTGAATCAATATGGACTATCACTTTAAAGCAACTTTATATCAAGGTAACTTATTTCTTTCAAAGAGAATCTCTCGATTGGTTCAACTGCAGTTCAACTGCAGTCGAAACAACAAACAGTTGCATTCTTAAATACTTTACGTTTAAATATTAATTAAAAATATAAAATTTATATAACGGTTTAACCTGAATCTCTGAGCCTTCGTGTGAAGCTCGTTAATATCAAATAAAAAATAAAAAATTCAAAAATTCAGAATAAACAAATTACTAAACTGACGATAATTTTAATATCTACTACCAAAACAAACTTGTACGACAATAGACTACAAATACGGTGCACAAAAGGCTACGCACTAAAATATTTAAAAAGGTGAGGGAAAAGGAGGATATCAGTGCAGGGCCTATAATTGTAAAAATAAAATATTCAAGTTTAGTATTTATATGCAAATGTATTGCCACAAAACGATGTACAGTATAATAGGTAATTGCGACAACTACCATTACGAGTATTAGGATGCGTGACAAAAATATTGAATCAAATATGTATAATACTAGAAGAAATCCCTTGTGATATCCCGAATCCTCATTTTATCCCCTTTAACTCACGGTCTCGTATGTATGTCACGTACGTAACATAATGCTCAAGGGAAGTAAACTCTCTAAAAATTCATACAAAATTCATAAAAAAATTTTTGATCAAACAGCGTGCTTAACTAGCGTATTAACATTTGCCAAATATTAATGTAGACCGTACCTGTGTTGTTATAACTCTTTTCAACAATCATCGTTATATTATACCTTAACAAATTTCTCTCGATTATCTCGCCGATATTATGATATTTATAACTGATATACACATTGCTATATAATATATATAAAATTGAAATATTTGTTTATTTAATACGCAACTTGAAATACGAATCGCAACCCGAGCATGTTCAACACCAATCGATCGTTCATATATCCCTGAGATTTCTGACGTAAATATTGTTTTTGCTTTTCATAATAAATATAACATAAAATATAAAAAGATATATAATAATAAATATAGAAAGTATAATTTTTATTTCTTCCTGCGACCAGCTAAAAATATAAGCTAAAATATTATTCGATTTTTCATGTGTGATTAAACTAGAGACTTTTCGACCAAATTAACTGTTTCTTAGAGAAACACGTTCTATAAAAAAATATTAATTAAACACGCAAAATATTCTTGGAACATAATTGCATATTTAAGAAGGATTATATATCAAGATATTTGCGTGGTGTGTAGCGACAACTCTCGCGCCAAATTATATATAGAAATAATCCCGTGAAAAAGACGCTGTTCTTTGTAAAAAAAAAAAAAAAAATAGTATAATAAATTAAAGGATTTTTATAGCTAAACTGTGATTGTACGATATGGAATATGGAACATATCGATGTATATAGTGTTCAAAAATGTATCAATTAACGCACGAATGTCTCGAGAATTAGACAAGATATAAAAATCCGACTTTTTTGTTTATAAATCGTATATTTTTCAAAGACACATTTTGATAAAAAAAAGTTTGACTTCTTGGTAGGAGCTTCAAAATGAAATAAAGATCAATTTATTTGTTAAAACCCTAATTTTTCATTTACATTTATAGGGCTTCTACCGACAAAAATTCAATTATCACTTACCAAAATTATTAAAAATTATGACTTTTTGCACTTTTAGGCGTATTTTTTAAACATCTCTTCTCTCATCTACTATCATTCTCCCTTTCATCCCTCTCTCTTTCTCTCTCTCTTCCCCCTCTCTTTATTATATAAAAAATATTTACATATATTTAGTCTTTCATATAAAAAAATAAAAAAAAGAATACAAGGTAATAAAAAATATAATTAAAAGGAATGAATAGAAAGCTTGCAAGCAAGGGGATGCTTTCCTCGCGCAATTATCGTGACCGAGTCATGCCGCTTGGGGTCAATAACACTCAATATTCCCCTAGACGCTACCCTAACCTTCGGTTAGGGGGTAGCGTCTGTACTCCCATGTCCAGCAATGGGGGAAGTAACCACGTGAAATACCACGTATTCGAGGAGGGTGGATCACACGGTGGTAATTCTTGGAACGATCGATCGGAGTTGCATGGATCGTGGATAAACGTCTAATAAATGGACGCGCGGAGGCGCGTCCCTTCTCGTATATGGCCGCTCATCGAGATTCGTGTCACAATATATTTTCTTTTAATTCATCGCTCACACTCACCAGATATTGCGCGTAATGTTTATGCTTAACGAAGGAGGAGGAGCGCTTCTTCTTCTTGCTGGCGTTAGCGGCGACCGAAGTGGCGAGGGTGTAGAGCTTGTCGCCGGGCTTCTCCTTACGGGGCGTTGATAGGTTCGACTTGTTCGCGGGCATCGTTCGCTCACTTCGTTCCAGTTTACTTTCCCGTCAACCGGCGGCAGTGGCGGCCTACAGTTGCACGATGACCCGTATCCGTCAACGACGATCACTGTGAACGAGATTAGCGGTCCAGCGATGAGGGAGGAGAAGACGATTGATAACACGACCGAAACTTTCCTACTCCACTCTATACTATACAGACTGTACGAAGGTACACGTGCGCGTCGCTGTGTGCGCGCTTATGACGCAAGTTCGGCTATATTCGGCTGTGTTCGGCCCGAAGCCACGCCTCCCGTACTGCCGTTCGGTGAACCGCCAAATCATTTGAATTTGTGCCGCTACTGAACAGATAAAAATCGGATTGAAAAAAATTTTTTAATCTTCTCATGTGTACACCTAAATACACAGACTGATATATATGATCTAATATAATGATGCATAAATGATTTAATTTGGAAAAGAAATAAATTAATAAATCGTCCTGCTCGTACTAGCTATTCAGAAATTATGGCGATCAAAGTCTCACTACAAATGTTTTCAAGCGTTTGCTTGACTAATTAGAAGAAAGAATTTTACAAATTGAACAATCAAAAATCATTTTGAAGTATTTGTAGCATCGCGTTAAATGCACTCTTCATTCTCTATGGATATACTTATAAGTAAATAGCGTTTATTCAATGTCAGCTTAATTTAAATTATTCTTACTTAAAAACTTTGCTCTCTCGTAATTTTATCTTAAAATTAGGAAAAAATTGCTTCTTCTAACACAAAAATTGCACTGTACGTTTTATGTGCGCAAATTGAAAAAAAATCTTGTACATGTATCACACACACATACACATTTCTAATAAAAATTATAAGAAAAAAGATAATTTATTTATTAATTATTTTTTCGTAATGTTTATAAACATTTATTCATGAACTATTATAAATTTAAGAAGCATTAATACTTTTTACTGTTTAAAATGCATTTCCAATATATTGAAAATATATTGGATATAAAAAATATATCTATAATATAACTGACATGAACTATAGTTCTTCAGTACTATCAGTACATTTCAAAACATATCCCTAATCTATTGTTTAAGTTACACTTTCTGCACTTTATTTATTTCATTTTATTTTCTTCCTTTAAAAATCAAACAAGTATACTTGTTTATTTTTTAATGCAAAGAGTACAGAAAAATATAAAGAGAGAAAGAATAAATGCTAATTAAATATTAATATCTTTATTACTAATTGTATTTTATGTATCTACTTATTTTATTTATGTCTTACTACAGCGAACATTCGTTCCGGTAGTAAGCAACTATTAGAAATGTAGCACAGGCCAATGCCAGCAATAGCGGCGTTCAATAAATAATCGACATTCAAAATGTGAATCTAATTATTACTATAAATATTGGATACATTATAGATAGTATTATAACATTAGATAATTGAGGGAATGGACGGAATAAAGGCACAATTCTACTTCGGCCCTTTTTCTAGCAATTAGCTTTTTCATGTAATATTGATCGTAATAGAAAAGTATTGTAACATGTAACTTCTTAAAGACATTACGTAAATTCATTCGATACTGTACTCATTTGTGTATAATAAAAAAGTAGCAAATTATTTTAATTTTTATTAATATCAAGATTTTACAATTAGGCCTTTCCATCCATCCCCTTAATTAGAGTTATACATGCTATATTAAATCTATGATTATCTAGAATAATAATATAGAAAATCAACTATATCTGTCTAAAGTTTTTAAGTCTTTGGAATCAAAAACTCAAGATCTGTTCGCGACACTCGCGTTGTTTGAAATTCTCAAAAAAGTTTGCGCTCAAAATGAGATAAATATATGTTTGAGTATTGAAGAGAGAGAAAGCGAAAATGCTGACCGAGTGCAAAAAGTGCAAGCAATGCGAACAGACCTTAAGTTTCTCATACGGGCGCGTCAATCGCCGCGCTCTTATTGGTTGCGTGCTTGTTGTCAGAAGCGAATAGCCGCGCGGCATCGTGCGCGCGCGCGTGCAAGAGAAGAAGAAATTTCACACGGGACGGACGGAGAGGCGGAAGAGGTGCTGGCGGCCGCGGGTGAGTGAAGGAGGAGAGTGAAGAGAAGAGGAGGAGAAGGAGCGACGCGGCGCAGCGGCGGACGGAGACGGTCGACGCATACGCAGGTTGACCCGTGTTTCTGCGCTCGAGCGCGCCCGTTCCGCTCGCGAATCGCGATTCCCCATCCCCGCTGGCAGGTCAGACTTCACACCGAGTCGCTGCCGTTCTGTGAATCGGAGTATTGCGTTCTTGGGTGTCGCGTCCGATCGCGAAGCGCAGTGCTGTGCGTGTCACGCGCGCTACCGTTCGTGGGGGAAGAAAAGAGTGCGGTGCGATTCGTACCGATACATACGTAAGGTTGAGGCGAGGTGGTATGATGGTCTGATCGCGGTCTCAACATGACCGTGGATTTTGTCGACTACTTTTGGGTGAGTGATCTAAAAAGTGATCAATATGTTCTCTCTTATTGCCTCTTTACTTTTTTTTTCCTTCCTCCTGTACCGCGTCTGTCTCATTTCCTCCACGGACGAACGCGAAACGTCACTCTCACCCAGTCAGTCAGCGCGCGTGAATTTAGGTTATGTCGCGAGAGAATGTATTCGTCCGCCGTGATCTCCTCGCCGTCATGATTCTCTTCGACCCTGCCCCATCCTGCGTCCTTGTTATCCTTTACGATGCTCCGTTAATGCAATCTCTTTCTCCTTCGTGCCCTTCCTGTCTGTCGTTTATCGTTCCCTCACGTTCGTTACATGCCGAGACGTTTTATTGGCTTTTGACACACACTTTCTCTTCCCCTCCTTTTCCCTTTCTTCTTTCTTCTATCTGTCTTCGTTCTTCTATCTCCGCTCCTTCTATTTTTTCCGTTTCTCTCCTTTTCTCATTATCCCTCTTCTTTCTGTTTCCTCCCCTGTTTTTTCTTTTTCCTCCTCTATTTCTTTCTTCTTTCTCTCGTTTCTCTTCTTTCTCCTTTACTCCTTTTTCTTTATCCTCCTTTTTCTTTCTTCCTCTTCTCTTTCCTCTTTCTTCCTTTCCCTCCGTTTTTCTTTCTCCCCTCTTTTCTCTCTCTTCCCCTCTTTCTCTCCTTCCACCTTTACCTCTCATACGTGCATTTGCACTCTCACATCTCGCATGTGAGTCGATTCATTGTTTGAGAAAAAAAAAACGCGCGTGGAAATAATATCTATTTAACATGTGCGTTGCATTCCTAAGCAGCCTGCCGTACGCGAACTGGCGAACTGCAAAGTCCGGGCAACGCGTTTTTATGTACGAGGTCGAAGGACATCTGCCGCATGTCGGTGTTTCTTTCGCTGTATTTATACCGTCCCGCAATTAGCCTCCTCTAATTGCAGGCGTATTCACGCACGTTCTTTGCAAGGTGTATCTCAACGAGGATCTTCAGTCGCTGAAGATTGCACGCAAAAGAAATTTTTGCCAGGTCATATCAAGCTCGCGACCGAGAGACGTTGAATCTCTCCCTCTCAAAGTCAAATAGACATTGCTCGTTTAACTGCTTAATTGCTCAATATCGTTCACAATGTTTGGTTTATATTGCAATGTTTGATTTATGTAACCTTCATAGAGCGGTATTCATAGTCTGATATTATATTCAAGCTCATCTTAAGTCTGGTCATGGACACTCTTGACACATCCAGCTAGTAAGTGAAATGAATGAAATGATTGTAAGCATCTCGAGATTGTATTTAAAGATAATTTCGAGTATAATATCGGACTATGAACGCTAGTGGTAAAGTTTTATAAGTGTATTTTTATTATTAAAATACATGTATTTTTATATATATGTATAATATATATTATGGATACTTATACGTTAACAGTAAATTTAAAGAAAATGCATATAGACTTTTACTTGTTTGTATGTTTATTATTGAAGTAAAAAAGCACAAAGACACTGGCTGCGTTCAGCAGAGAAAATTAATCAGTTAGCGCCTAGTGATTCTTTAATATGATTGGTTCTTGCCTTTAGTTCTTCGCAAAATCTAAGTGTAGGATCGTACTAAAGAATCGTACTAAAAAATCACTAAGCGCTAACTCATTAGTTTTCTCTGCTGAACGCAGCCATTCTGCATTTAGCAGAAAAAGCAGCTTTGTAATTGTTGTAAAATTCTTTGATATCAATTGGTTTTGCTTAGTTCCTCACTGGATCTAAATGTATAAGACCGATTGCACTAATATTATTTTAACTTTAAGTGAGGCTTAAAACTCCCTTCCTCTCGGTGTCTCTCTCAGCTTTAGAAAGAGAAAGAGAGAGAGAGAGAGTTTTAAGCCTCGCTTAAAGTCAAAGTAACACGTTGGTGCAATCGGGCCTAAACCAATTAAAGAATTTATTAAGCAATAGAGAGAGTTACAAAGTTGCTCTTTTTTTTTTAACGCAGTCGTGTTAAAAGTATATAAATCTGACTGCGTATATTTCGTCATGAGAAGGCTTTTTTGAGGATATTTATTTGACCAATGTTACATATTTATCTACAACTCTGTCTCTTAGAGCGCACATTGTCGATAAGATAGTTGTCATTTCCTTTTTTTAACACTGCGAGTATCCCGTATATGAGATCATTTCCAATGCGATGTAAAATATTAGACAATGGCTGGCTGCGGAAGATTCTTTTATAATACAATTATTACTTTACAATACTTTTATATCATAAACGTGACGTAAAATATCAGACGAGTTGTTTGCGAAAGATTCTTTTGCAATAAAATCAAAGCAGAAATTGAGACGTATAACTGCCGCAAGTAATCGGTACAATAGGATGACAAGGGCAATAATATGTAATGACAGCTTATTACGACGTCACTTAAGCGGTTCTGCTCAATGTGGATTTACCGCATGATCAGAGTTCAAGTGTTAAACGGCTAAGTGGTCTTAAGTACCATTCCGATCTTTCAGTCGTAGTTTTCTAATTACAAAACTTTTTTTAAGGATTTTTTCTGATAGAGAAATAATTCAGCTATCTAACTTTTCTCTATCCTTTGTGCTAATTTTCCAACTTTTAAATTTAAAACGCGCACATTTACATGTATATGCCACATTTGAAATTTTAATTGTAGGTTCTCTGATAAATGTGAAGTCGATTTTTTTCTTAGCGAAAATGTCAAGCAAAATCGTTATTTATCGCAATTTTTTATTTGTCGTCGTGTGTCTTTATAACTAAGTTTTGAATTGAAATTCTATTAAAATTTATTAACTCAAGATTATGATTTCGTTATCTGCCTCTTTTAATTAACCGAAAGTATTTTTCAATCGCTAGCAACTTGAAAATTATTAAGAATTATTTGATTTTGATATTTTCATTGAGGAAAAATCAGGGTTGGCACAGAAAAACCCAGTTTACAAAAACCCAAATACAAAAATCCAAATACAAATTACAAAAACCCGAATGCATGTCAAATTTCATTGTTTTGTATAATATTAATATACCTTCGCACATTTTTAAACAAAAATTCGATAAACTAAAAAAATGTTCGTGTTTTTTGACCTTTCTAACTACTAATTTTGCTTAGCAATCGAGCTTGATATTTTATTTTTATATATTTCAATTCATTTATGTTAGTTTAATTATAATTAAACATTGGAAAGAAAGATTTGAAGTCGTATTACAGGTTGAACATAATACATTTAACATTACGAATAAAATTATATAAAATTGATAAATCTTTAACGTCATCAAGTGAATTTAACTATTTCGTCGTTGGATAGTGAGAAAAAGCTGTCTTTTTCGAAAATTTTCAAAAGAAATCGAATAATGTTTTACCAAATTATTTCAAACATACTGTGGTAATAAATTAGATGGAAAAAAAAAACATTAATTGTCTATCAAGAGAATGTATTGATCTATATAAATCAAATATTTCTAATTAAAAAATTTTTTTTCTTTGAATGATATAGTATCTTATTTAATTTTTGATTTGCCTTATGTTTAAATTGTAAGTTGTGAAAGAAATTATTAGAAAAATGTGATAAAAAACATTATTAGAAATACATAATTTTAAAAATGTACCTGTGATATGGCTCTTATCAGTTTACAATTAATATCTATCCAACGTTTCAAAGTTAAAGCCTCATGATCACCGAAGTGTTGGTAAATAAAATCAAGATAATAATGAAATTTAAATGGAAAGTTATTAGAATGTATTGTACGACCCGCGTGCAAATAAATGGAAATGCGTAAAATATCTAGTTCGAGATTGAAGCAAAAATTAGTAGTTAGAAAGGTCAAAAAATACGAGCAACGTTTATTGGATCTTTAAAAATACACTATTTTATTACAACATACATTAAGAATTAAACTAGTTTTTTATCTATAAATTAATCGGAAACTTGTTGCAATGATTGCTTAACATAAATGATATTAATGAAATGCTGGTCTTAAATCCTGGTAGTATCTGTTGGACGATTTTTTGAGATTATATTTTTGTCGAACAGACTACTACACTTTTAAAACAATAGATGACTGCTAATAGAGTCCTAGAACAAAAACCCACAAACCACAAAATCCACAAAAACCCCCAAAATTTAGGTTTTTCTGGAAAAAACTGGGTTTTTACCAACCCTGGGAAAAATTGATTAATTTATTAGTGTTTACCAGAAATTTATAGTTCCACATTAAAATTAAAGTAGCTGATGTTGTATAAGAATGTCATATATGTATACAAATATGTTATTATTATGTATACAAATAATATTAATTAAATTAAAGTACTTATTCAGTCTGTTAGGTAAGAAAATGTAATTTTGGAAATCAATTAAATGAAATTGTTTTATCGTTAAAAATATATTTATTTGTAAAATTTTTTATTTTTTGTTATTTATATAATTTTATGTTCTGGAAACAATATGACAATTTTTTACTTCTTAATATTTTCCACATCAAATGTTTATCGCCACATTTTGAACAATATGCATCATAACTTTTAAAAACTTGATCTGAAATACTAAATCTAAACACCTTTTTTAATATATATTATTTATTAAAATTTGTTAAAGACAGATTTAAATATTATGTTTCACAAGAATCATGACCTTTTTCAACTTCCTAAAATTAATTTTTTTTTTCAAAATATCAATTTTGGTGGAAAGTTAAAATTTTAACGTTTAGTTTTACCATATTATGACAAATGGTACATATCTACAAAGAAATTTGTTTTGTATTTCGAATCAAGCCTTTGAACTTTGTATGAAAGATGTGAAGAGAAGTTAAAAATTTTTCTTTATTTTATAATTTTTTAGACTTGTAATTATGTGTACAACTGCAATTTTCAATATCAAATTGTCGTACATTTCGTTTAATTCATTCTCAAAATAATATTTCCTCATTGAACAATTAAAAGGTTTTTGAAGCAATTAAATTAAAGTGAATATCGTTTTAAGAATTTAATAAATCAAATTTTATTACTGAAATAAATATATATATAAACTATTTTTTTTTATTATTTAAGGGCGAAAAGAATAATGGATTTGACGTGTTGTATCATAACATGAAGCATGGTGTAATCGCCAGCAAGGAATTGGCTGAATTTTTGCGAGAAAGATCAGCCATAGAGGAAAACAATTATAAACTTCTTAGTAAGGTAGCGAAACAGGCGAGCAATAGCACGCAAGGGACATTCGCACCTGTCTGGGCCGCTTTGAGAGGTGCCGCCGAAAAACTCGCCGTTTTACATTTTCAAATGGCCCAGCGGGTGTCCGAACTCATAAAAGATGTGTCAAAATATGCGGACGAACTGCACAAGAAACATAAGGCTGTACGTAATTACATTTTCCTATTTATAATTCGTTGATTAATTGTATTTTTTTATGGAAAAATCTTAATATTTTTCTCATTAATTTGATTGCGATCTTACACAGTAAAATACGGTATTATCTTTTATTCACAATTGCCATACTTTGCTGTACAATATGCTATTAGATATGTATTCCATAAATTATCAGTCTCCGCCCACAGTTGGGTCAGTAGGTTCTCATCATCAGACAATCAAGTCGGCAATGTGCAGAGGTCTTATCAAAGTGTACACATAAATATGATTAATTGCACATGCAAATCAAATTGATTCGCGTTAATTTTTAATTGGAATAATTTAACTAAAGAAATGACATATCGACAACATCTAGGTGAAGGAAGAAGAATCGTCTACTTTAGAAGTTGTACAAAGTATACAAAGCATTACGGTAACGTTACATAAGGCGAAAGACATGTGTATGCAAAAACGCCTCGAATTAGAGAAATTAAGGAAGGACAATGCCAGTCAAAGGGAGCTGGAGAAGGCAGAGGGCAAGTTCAAAAAGGCACAAGATGATTATAGGACGCTGGTGGACAAGTACACGGTCATACGAAACGACTTCGAGGCAAAAATGACTCAAGCTTGCAGGGTACTAATTCTGGATTAAAATGTAGAAGTTAGGCTTTGCGAGATAATATTGCTGCGCAAGCGATTAGCGAAGCGTACTAATCAATGTACGTTTTCGTTACCAAGCGGTTCCAAGATGTGGAAGAGACGCATCTGAAGCACATGAAGGAATTTCTGAATACGTACGCTGATGTTTTGCAAACCAATCACGAGCAAGTCGGCCAGGTTCATATCGACTTCAAACGGCAATGCGTCGATATGACGGTGGAGAAGTTATTAGAGCAATTCGTTCAGAGTAAATACACGGGTTTCGAAAAACCAGGTAAAAAGAGTATTTAAAAGATTTTTTTTTTCATCTCTATTCCTCAGTATCCATGACATGTCTGTAAATCAGGTGTGATTGAATACGAGGAAGTTATGACGAGTTTAGCGGAAATGACCAGCCACTCTCAGTCAGAAGGCGGCGTAGAGACACCTAAGGAAACGTCGAAGGGCACCAACGGCGAAACAGGCGTAGCCGGTAACAGTCACAGTTCAAAAAAAGATCAGGGATTAAAGGGGGAGGGTAGTACTTTGAGGGTACTGGACGGGGAAAGGGGAAGGGTGATATTGGAAAAGGATAGAGAAAAAGAAAGACAGAAGGAAAAGGACAGAGAACTGTCACATGCACAAACCACCAAGGCTTCCCGCCGTACTACCTCGCTACTCAACCTGTTCATGTCCAACTCCCATGGTAGGTTTCTTTCTCTATCTCTCTCTCTATCTCTCTTTCATTGAAGTTACACGAACTTTTTTAAAGTTTCGTTATCTTTTTAATTGCAATAGTTTGAACCTACCTTGGCTTTGATGCAATGAGATGCTACATTTTATACGAGACATGTTTTTTTCCATTTTTTGAAACATTTTACATCACATCGATGCACTTTTACATCTTCAAATTGTTACGAAAGGCGGATACGCTTTTCGTCCTTTTTGACGAAATTAATTTTGCAATCGTCCAATATAAATATTCGTAAAACAAGGCATAACATTGCATATGTTTAGGTAGACTTTTTTTTATCATTTTTAATTTTATATCCGTTAGTATACCATCATTGATCACATTATACACTTGCCCAATTGAATTGCAGCACTCGATCACAGATATATCAATTCGAATATGATACGCAGACAATTTTTATTGATTTATTTATGCTTATGTGGTTGTTGTGTTATACTTGCTTATGCGTAACGATCTAACATTAGGTGGAGGATGACATATAGAATACAGCATTGTGTTCCAGGGGGTTTGTTTTTTTATTTTAATTTTAATTCTAATTATACTCTTGTATGTATATTACAAATTACGTATTTATATATATTATGTATGTATATTACATGTCAAGGGATATATCATACGTACTTTATTATAAAGGGCTATACTACTTTATTGTTTCGTTCATCCATGAAAAGTAAGCAGAGGAACAATGAATTTGTTTGTGCAGTTAATTATCGTGTCAGACAGAAAATTTATTATAACTATGTATTTTAATTTATATTTTTTTAATATTATGATATTTAATTCTGTCTCCGATTTTTGCGTATTTTGCATACAGTTGCTCTTATGCGTCGAATATTATTACAACTGTATGTCCAGATGCGAAACTATATGTGAATAGAGATTATGTGATTATTTAAAATATTCTCACCCCTCTGGAACGCTCTAAAATGCCATTGAAAGTTGCGAAGGTCATTAAAATTTGAATCGGTACAACTAACGTGCATAATAGTGCGACATGGAGCGAAAGAAAAAAGGGGCCATCAATTGATGGGGAGGTATTCAAAGACGTGAGAATGATGAGTGTTGTTTCAGACAAACAGAAGCAAGCAGGGTCGTCTGGTTCGGCACCTGCCACCCCTCAAGGGAACAACCTGCCTCCTGCTGTTCCACCTCCCAGCATCTCCAGGAACCCTCTCAGAGGATCTAAATGTAACAATTTACATTTTACTCCTATACCTCCTCTACCATACCCTCTGACTTTGTTGTTAGAATACAGTATACAACATACATTAGAGATTACTGATACTGACGTTAGCTGCCGAGTATACGTTGATAAAATAATCATATTCTGTATTTAATTTTCGCTGATACGACAATTAACGATTGTCATGCTTCTGTTCGTACGGTTTCTATTTATCTCGTTCTCTTTCTTTTTATTAAAGATATTTAAAGAGTATGAAACGTAAAATAACTTTGCACACAATTTTTCAACTATTGTCACAGTTGTCACTTTTTTAATTGAGGATTTTATTCAGACAATCTATTATGTGTTGGCTCGAATATGAATGATCAATTATTAATTTGAAAATTTAATGTGAAAATATTTATCGTAAATATTGACACATAAATTCTCAGATATAAACTTATTCCGTATTTATGATTTTTAAAGATATTTTATTTCATAATTTGTAATAGGATCAGTCTTATTCGAGCATTTCCTATGTAGCTCTTTATCTCTATAATATTTCTCTATCGGTTGTTCTCTCTTTATGGTGCTCGGTGACAAAGACATTATTTCTTTTTAAATACCTCTCTTATATCTTATTGAACAGAACGTAATATGGTTAAATAAATTATCTACTGACTTATAGTGGTTGCGCGTATTATGATTCCTCCACTGTGCTCACTTTTAGAACAGCGATGTACGTATACTAACATTGTCTAAACGCTTTAAATTAATGTTACAAATATATCTTTCATCAAACAAATCATTTATTTTAATGTAACATTAATTTCTGCTTCATATGTAACATCCATGCAAAATATTTCTTCACTTTGATTTATTTCCGCGTTTGAAATGGATTTAAGACTGAGAAGATATTTTGGATTAAAGGAAGAAATATTTTTTGTTTGCATTTTAACATTAAAAAACGCTTGAATAGAATATTGGCACTATCTAACATTAGAAATGTATGGGATTCTAATTACTTTCGTATTTTCATAAAGTTTCATCTATAAATTGTTTTTCTAACAATCCTTTCTGTGGGAATATACATATATTTTTCGATGGCGACATACAATTTGCATCAATTTTTACACAACCACGATAAGAACATCTATAAAATATTTGTACATATAATTTTCTACAGTCAACTATATTATCGAGTGCATTCGGTTTATTATGAAATCAACATTCGCTAAAAAAAACTTCGAACTTTTATATATATATTTTTTAATATAACCATGGAAGATTAAAGATTAAATAACATGTTGTTAAAACATGGGTATGAATGTCGTAGATTTTAATGGATGTGTTTAACATAGCTTCACTTTTGTCTTTCCGTTTATTTTTTCCGTCTCTTTATCTTTTTTCCGATAAAATCATGAATAAATACATGGATGGGTTATACAATCGCGGTACATACAAGCAGTCATATACATCTAACTTTTTTACATGTCATAAATGATCCAAATGCTAACACGTACCACTAATGACCGTCCTGAATAGACTTGTAATTACATGGATTGCAGCATATAATTATATTTCTAAAGTTCTTTCTGTAACATCAATGCAGTGAGCTAAAAAGAAAAAGAAATATAACTAAACTAAAGGGAGTTGGACTTGAATAATGTTGAGATACAAGAGCGGGGTTGGCTACTGACGGGGGCCTCAGGTGAGCCGTTTTTATAAAATTCCTAATTCGCATGGCTCACGTGTTTATACTTACATTTATTTTCCAAGTGCAGGAATATCTTTCTTTCTTTTCCAATAACGTAATATTGATTCTGAAAACAACTATTATTGCGAACTATGTTCTCGTCGATGACAATCATTCCCGTAGCATCTTCGGCAGCATTTACATTCATTTTATTTGATGGATTACTTTTTTATCTTATAGAATATTTTTATATCTTATAGAATATTTCTTTTTCTGTGAATTTACTCCTCTAAATATTTATTTATTTAATGTCTGAGACTATTTTTGCATGCAACGTTAGATTAGCTTGCAGAGGATGTATATTCCTCTGTGTATATAATCTTCCAAAGAGAGACATGCACGGATAAGAATGTTCAAAACGAAATGCGTTTATTATAGTGTCAATGTAGATTTAGTAATTGTTAGAAAAACAATTTAAGAAGAGAGTATACGATGCAGATACTGTAGGATTTTTGATGGTGATGGTGCGTGGGATATCTTCATATTTCTACTAACGTGACGTGCTCTACTCCACTACTGAATTTTATTTTCTGTATACTTCACTCTTTTATCATCTGCCTTCGTTCGACGTAGGTATTCACTTTGTTAGTCGTTGTTTTATGAAACGCTGACATGCGTTCCCTCGAAAAGGTAATAAATACTTGTAAAGATATTGAGTTGGAATACAAATTCGTAGCGCTACGAACTTCAAAATACAAGCTGTAACTTCGTTAATAATGAAGGAAATTTAAATTTAAAAAAGAGGTTTTAAAGATTAAAGTCTTTACTTTCTGAAAGGTCTTTTACCTTATTGAAAGATCTTTTAAGTTTCTGTGAATTTGATCATTTTTACAAATAGAAAACTACAAGCTGAACAAAATGGGAATTTTTTTATTTTAAAGGCCTATCATATACTAAAAAAAATCTTACAAAAAGTTTCAACTTTTTAACATGAGAATTTAAAGGTTTTTTTATAAGATCATTTTAAAAATGTTCCTAATTTTTTTGTTACTGAGTTATCGCTGATTAAATAAAAGGAGCATTTTGACTCTGATTGTAACTCCGTTCAAAGTTATCGCGCGCGTGTACCGCAATTAAAAAAACAGATTCTTAACGCTGAAACTCTGCTCTATCGAATAGTATAATTGCTAAAATTTTTCAAAAACACGTAAATATGATACAAATGAAAAAGCGACTACGAACTTTTGTTCCAATCCAATACATTAGAAATAACGCTACGATTTCTTTATAATGATGTAATTTAAACAGACGTAATTTAAATCGAGACATATTTGTTTTAATATAGTCGCAACAAATTGATTTTTGCAAGGAAACTCGTGTCAGCCTCATCAGAAAATATAGAAGTTAGTTAATTAATTAGAAATGCATACAGGAATGCTAGTTAATACGACGTACGTCGATTTGTTTCGTATTGTTTAATCATGCTGTGTTACATTTTGATCACTTGGAAAGTAAATTCTTTAATCTTAATTTCTCATTAAAGTTTTATAAATGTATATTATGTACTGCCCATTCAAATGCTACAAATGTTAGAATGAAATATAACAATTTGTATAACTTTTTTTTATTACAAGCAACAGCAGTTCTCGTTCAAACTTCTGTAGATTCACACTGTAGATTCGAATAGATACATATTCGTGTAGATAGTAATGCAACTATGTAGATTTTGCTTTTTATTTTATTTATACATAATTTAGTTTTATTATTAATAGAAATACCATCTATTCTATGATGGTTTTTTAATGCCGGATTTTTTTCTATTATATTTCCATAATATCAATATCAAATCATATAAATATCTTATTTTCCTTTGTGCAAAATTCTATTTCTGCAGTAGTAAATGATAAAAATAGATGTTAAAATTTATTTCTAAATGTACAATTCATAAATATTTGTAGTGAATTTAAGAATAGTACATTAATTTCGCAGATACAAATGAATTCATAATTTGGTGTAACTGTAAGAGTAATTTGCTTAAAGTATACGTTTAATAAGTAGCTAGTATATATATCACAGTACATATACCGTCCTATTGTCTACATTTGGGGTATCCACGACCAACAGGGTTTCTACGCAGTAGAAGAGAAAAACGAAAGGAGAAGAAGGCGAAGAAGAAGAAGGACCTCATGGATACAAGCAGCAATAAAGAAGAAAAGTCTGACCTGTCAGTACATGCATGCACAGCAGACCTAGTGCACATAGAGTCAGTTTCATAACCAGCAGATAAAGTCGATCTGTACTCTAAAAAAAGTGATGTACATATTTAATTAAGATTTCAACGTAAATTAAATATACTTTTGCTGGATGTGAATCTTAGACTCGGAATGCTTTGTTGTTGGATATTCTATTTGTTCGTCTAAAATATATTACATATTATAATTTTTTTATCGATTATTATCAATCACAATATACAGCATACATTTAAAATATTTTGAACATGAGTCTGCAAATGCTTTCTTTCCATATTACAGATGTTGAAAGTTGTACGTTGTATTGGATGTTAACGTTTAAATAAACTATTACGTTTGTCAGAATGATAGTCTGAAAATGTACTGAAACTAAATAGCCGTTATTTTATAAGTTCAGATAATCAGCATTTCGAAAATATTTTACTGGGCTATGAAACTTAGCTAAATTATATATTATTTCCTTTTTATAATATTTTTTTTATAAATTTACTTATATCCTATTTCTTCGAACTATATGATGATAAGTAGTTTCTCTTCTTCGGAATATTTATTTCATTCCGTTTATGCATTATATTCAAAATAATGGCTATTTAATTTCAATAACTTCCTGACTATTATCTTACAAGTGTAAATATCTTACGATGTCAGTATAATAGGATGTTCTAGGTAATGGTAATTAAATAATGAATAACGATAAGATATAAGATTGTGTACGTATAATTTTAATTTTCTTTATCATAGATATGATCTTTCCTGGACTATATTTTAGTTTATTTCGTTAATAATTACTTAAAAACAGATTTTGAGTTAATATCAAACAATAATGAAAAAAGAAACAATTTTTCTTAGTCATCAGGTTGATTTTTTATCTGGGTAAATCGGTATTGAATTTCTTTTGAAAGCCACGCCTTTATGTATATAAAGGTTAAAGAATTACAAAGCTCGAACAGAAAGCATTCATGGATTTATGTATAGCATTTTTTTTATCAGTGTAGAATACTTGATATTCGTCAACTTTAGTTATCTCACGTATCACGCCTATAAGCGCAACAGTTGTATTATTTTAGCATGCTTCTAGCATGAAAGAGTTTTTATTATGTATTGCACTGGGCCTGCTGGAACTTACAAAAGTATATTATTTTAAATGATTTTCACGAACGCAATAGGGAGGACAAAGAAGACAGCAGAAAGTCAGAAACGCCAACGCCGGAGGTGGACGAGGATGGTTTTTGTATTAGACCAAAGCCGGATCCGTGGGAAAACGAAAAGGGATTTTATTCCAGTTCGGATACTGATTCGGAAGATGAGAGGGAACGTAAGATACGAGTGGAAATAAAGCCTCTCAGCAATGGTGGTGCACCCATGAGCGCTAGCGTAGACGAATTGAGAGCGACAGTGGAAAATTTATCTTTATCACCTGCACCAACAGTAAGTTGTACTTTCTACTAAAAAATCTCATATTATGTGTTATACATTACAACTTGTAATTAAAACAATTATTCTATAGTTAGAAGAAGGCAAAAGTACGATATATACTATATTTAAATACTTGTCATACGATTTTATGTTTAAATCGTGAAATAATATTAATAGTATAAAATATAAAGAAACCGAGACGTATAAAATAATATCTTTATTTGATTATTAAATATTATAATTGTATATGTAATATCACATATAAAAGCTACTTCTATTATCCATGAGGAAATTTTTAATGAAAAAGCAATTTAAAACGTAAAATTATAATAGTATTATAATATATAAATATTAATATACAATGTATTATATGTAATATATGTACCTATATTATGTAGTATTTATTTTATTTACGTATATATTAATTTTTTTTTTAATATTATGTGTTAACTTCTTGATCTTTGTTAGATTTTTAATAAAAAAAAATGTCCCTTACAAAAACATTATCGATGTTGTATCTTCGTAACTTGCTTTTTTATGAGAAATTATCGTTTATCACAAATTTTTCTTACTCAAAATACATGTTATTAGAAAAAAATAATATGCCACTTCGTTTTTCTGATCACACATCATATTCGAACAGGGACGTAGAGGATCGAATACTGATTCCGATCATCATATGAAAAGGTCTCAGTCAGTGTCACAGCAATTAGGAGGTAAGCCAAGCTCAGATTTACTTGGCCTAAACTTGTTCAATCCTAGCAGTACGCCGTCGAGCGCGTCGACACCGACCGGTAGCCACCCTTACGCCCCGCTGCAGAGCCCACCGCCACTTTCTACATCGCCGACCCCGTCGCAGCCGCCGCCGCCACAATCTGCGCCGCCTACACATTCTCATACCCGATTTCCAGGTAAGCCCTATTAACGAGTTTATCTGCTTACTGAATGGTAGGAAGCTACAAATTCACTGAGTCATTATCAAACATATAAATTAACTTCTGCGAAATTTGCGACGCCAAATAACGGTCAATTATTTATTATGATACATATCTATATATATGTATGTGTGAAAAAAAGAATTAAGATATGAGTTACGAATATCGCTTATAGTAATGTACTAAATTGAAACATATCTTTTATTTTTACATGAAATTAGGAACTAGAGAGATAAGAATATTTGTAAAAAGAATAATTTTTTAGATGGGGATTTATTTTCGGAAGTTGGAGACATCACACCGGCCTTGCCACCCAAACAATCCGCATCCTCAACGCCGACGGGATCGATCGTAATACCCAGACCACCATCGCGCCGAGGAGAAGGTCCATCGCCACGCGGTAGGATGTCACCTGCGACGATATCTCGGGCTGATAGCGTTGCCAGCCTGGAATTTCGCACTGCTGGCGTGGGCGTGGGATCCTCGCGGGGACCATCTCCACTCACGATCGGCCTAGCAGACACCATTCCGTTGGCAGTCGCTTTCCATGAGATAGTGCATTCCTATTTCCGTGGCACCGACGAAACCCGATGCCAAGTAAAGCTAAGCGGTGACATGATGCTCTCGTTTCCGGCTGGCATCGTCACAGTCCTAGCGAATAATCCCAGTCCTGCCAAACTGACCTTCCGCGTGAGAAACACCAATAGGTTGGAGAGACTGTTGCCAAACAGCCAACTTATCAGCATGTAAGTCATTTTTACTAATCGCTTTAAATCGAAAGAAGGCAGCTTGGTGAAAGACGAGATTGCGTTTACAGGGACGCAACTCAAACTACCGTCGATAGTACAATCTTCGAATTCAACATGAGTGCCTTAACTATGTTGCTTCGGCGACAAGCTGAACAGAATCCCTCGGCCTCGTATTTCAATGTAGACATCCTCAAATATCAGATCAAATGCAAGGAAGGTGCTGGTTCGTGTCCTTTTCAATTGGTCGCATATTGGAAATGTGAGACGACCCACACCGATCTCAAGGTAAGATATTTGGCCATCTTTTTAAGAGATGCTTGAGTGAAACAAAAGTGACGATTTCGTCTATCTCACTTGATTTCGTAGCAAATTAATTTTTTTTCGATTCTAGATCGATTATAAATATAACAGTCGCGCCATGGCCTCGCCGAGCCCTCTACTGAATCTCCATGTTGCTGCGCCTATTGATGGCGGTTTTAAATCGTTCAATAGTAAACCGCCGGCACAGTGGTTGCCCGATACGAATCGCGTACTATGGAAATTTACGGAACTTTCGCAACACAGCGAGGGTAACGGAGTCGGATCCTTGAAGGCGCGAGTCGAGCTCGAACGCGGCCCAGGCAATCAGGGCACGATATTTACACAGTTCAATTGCGAAGGGACCACATTGTCGGGTGTCGAATTTGAGCTTATAGGATCTGGATATCGGTTGAGCTTGGTGAAGCGAAAATTTGTGTCTGGTACGTTAATTAAATAATCCGAAATTTTTTAATCATTGGATGATTGCGCAAAAAGTTATATAAAAAAAATATTTTTTGTGCTATTAAAAACATTTTTTATTATTTAACTAAAGCAACTTCCCAATTACCATTCTGTATCTTGTTTCAAAAATGATACTATTACAAAACTGCTTAAAAAAATTGGTTAAATATAAATTAAAATTAAAATATTAAATTTCTTTTAACTAAGTTTTTTATAAAAAGAATGTAAAGAGTTTCAGAGTCCTTTTACATATTATTTATTTATTAATTAAAAAAGAAACAATTGTCGAAAAACATAATCTTCATGATTTAACTTTCACTAGTTATCACAGTTTAAATTATTTCAGGAAAATATATATGCGACGGAGACTCAGATTCGCGTTCAAGGTACGCCGCACCGCCATCTAATGCAGATTGACGACTTCCAGAATGGGCGCCTCAATGGGAGAGCCAGCCCATTTAATATTGGTACTTGCTTAATCATTCACTGCCCATATCATTACTATCGATCGTTCATATTCCGGTTATGCATGGAGAAATCTGTTGGATACCAAAGTGTGCATCGGCCGAAGATTAAATGGATCTTTTTGTAAAAATCATGTACCGAAAAAAATAGATAGAGAAATCAGAAAAGGCGTCTTACAACCAAAGTGATACGACTTTTCCCATGAAACAAACGTGGTCCATGTTCTCTCTGCACATTCAACGCCGAAGTCTTTCAAGTCTTCATTTATATTAAGCCATACTATATTTTATCTCGATGGGAACATACAATTACATACAATAGGAAATTTAGACATAAGACGACGCGTTCGAAGCTAAATGTACTGCTATTAAGTGCAAGCCAATCCTTTATGACTTCGCGACTAGAACGAACAGGTAGAAACAAAAATCTAACTTGATGCAGGACACACTATGACGATTGTGTATTCTATGTGTTTTATATACAACTTGTATATTTTTTAATTTTTTATATATTCCCCGCATCAAGGTACTACTGTACTACTGTAGACTAATAATACTACTGTTTTAACGAAGTTTCTACGATAGAATACGACAAATATGCGAGCAGTCTTTTCTGTCGAACGAGAGAGATTCTCGCATGAAGATCTTTGGTGTCCAGCATACTCTCCGACACGATAACTTCCGCCATTTATCAATTTCTCTCTCTTTACATAATCAAAATACGTCATGACGTCTTTTTTTATTTTAATTCTCTATTAAAATAATGTACAACGCTCTTTATTGTTACGTTTTGCATTATTTTAATGCGATAGCATTATATATTGTTATGTTAGCATTATATATTGTTATGTCAGCATTATATATTGTTAATAACCGTGCGGAAGGAGAAAAAATATAAGCGACGATCAAGCATATAAATACCGATTTTAAGTACATTATATTTAGTATTTATACTTTGAAAGGTAGAGGCATATTGTTTACACGTGGTGAACGAGCCTTTCGGCGAAGAGATTCTGACACGTACGGTAATTTTTAGTTCATTTTTATGCGCGCGAAGATGATAATATTAAATAGTAAGCTGTACGATAAAACGCGAGTAAAAACTGTTTTACCGGTGGGGAAATGACGAGACAGCGAGAAGCGATAGCAAGAGAAATAGAGATAAAGAGTTTAAATCAACGATACTTTTTTAAACATTAGCACATGTTGGATGCGAAACGAATCAAATACGATTCTGTATTTTTGAATGTTAAAACACAATTTTGACGTCGATAACAGAATTTTAGCTTTAGGTATAGCTAACGGCGAACGAGGGGAGTCGTTTATCTAAATGTTTTAAACTGAGATTCTTAGTATTATACGTAAAATGCTGAAAGTTTCGTACCTATTGCGATTGTGGCGCGTTCCGTTTTCGCCTGTAAAAGCGTATTCTCGTTATAGTTATATCACACTTGTTCACACGTCACATCCACGGTTGCCTCCTCTTCGATTTTCGGCCAGAGATTCAAATTCTGATGACCTTTTTAAGTGCGCGCGTCGATAATAACAACTTTTTTCTTTAGAGAAAATACCATAAGAAAGTAATTTTGAAACAGTAATCGATCTCTGGCAAAAGAACCATTAATCTCCAACGGAACATTAGTCGAAAGGTGGCAATCGTGATTACATTCATTGCTTTCTACAAATTGATTAATTTAATCAATTAAATTACAAGATATCACGGACTAATGTTAAGACATTTTATACAAGACATTGATTCTCAATAAGTAAGTCAATTTCCTGAAGGCATTATTAAATAGTCTATTTATTTGTATCACTACTTTTTATCTCATTAATTGTGACAATCGAATGTCCCGAACTAGATTGATCCAATAATTGATTTGACAAATTTAATTCATACGCAAGATATATGTTACATTCATATTTTTGAAAAAAAATAATGATTATTGATTGTGATAGTAAATTATTTAATGTCGTGCAATATAAATTGGTTTCAAAAATAATTTTATTTTCTCTAAACATATCTTTAAATTATCTATTGTGATGGTATATTTAACGCATTAAAAGCTATTATTATTATATAGACGAACATGGTTAAAGCAAAATTATTTTTATTGTTTATCGAATACACACCCACACACACACACACACACACACACACACACACACACACACACACACACACACGCGCGCGCGCGCGCGCGCACGCACGCAATATACACGCACGCATACATACACAATTTTTCTCTGCTAAGAATGAATTTGTTGGCCGTTAATGAATTAAATGTCAATCAATCTTTTATTGATACAAATTTTTTCATGTTTATGAAGTAACAAAATTATTCTTCGTATCATTCGTTTCTTCGAATATTTTATTATATCTGAATACACTTCGAAAAACGTGGAATTAGTTTTTTACATATGCAACGTATATGTATATAAGATCATGAAATAATGTTACTCTTGTAAGAAGTCTGATCCAAATCATACAGACCGGCGCACTCGATATTTTCTTCCGTTTTACATCGACGACAAGCGGTAATCGCTGTCTCTAAGAGAATTTAATTCTCCTAGGCTGAAACTTAAATCTTATCAATAATAGACAAAGTTCGTTCAGACAACACCTTGAAAGTTGAAGAGTCAATGGGCACTAAAATACGCCAATTTACGTCTTTTCATTGTAACAATCACATGATGCTAAACGTGAAGTATCATTTTCTTATACTTCTCGTTGCTGAAAGAAATTTTACGATCAGTAAAAGATTATTATAATTGCCGTCGTTATTACTGCGTCTTGGCGTTCTTGCGATACTCTATACGTCTGTCTCTGTCTGTCTGTCTCTGTTTCTGTCTCTCTGTCTCTCTCTCTCTCTCTCTCTCTCTCTCTGCGCGCCTATTTTTCGCGAAAGCGTTACTTTCGAGATTGCTTTTTAATTATAATCGTCATGCAGGGAGAGGCGATACACCAAGATCTATACGAAGAGCAATACAAAAACATCTGTGACCTATAACGAAACTCGAGTGACCACTCCATTCGAGATATTAAATCCATCGTGCGAAATTAATTGCGTTGATCAATATCAAGTAGTGGATATTGTCTTTCTATTTCATTTATCGTCGGACTTCGAGGATTTATGATAATGGAAAAAAAATTCTAGACTTTATTCCATTAATATGGTACGCGGTATTGTTGTAGCTATCTTCTTGTTTCGCGTTGGAAATTTGCGTACTATATAGAAGTGGAATACACCATTAGTAATAACATGGAGTGGTTTCTGAAGAATCGACTGAGCTCTCCTGTGATACGCAGATGTCACTATAATTTCGTAATAAACATTTGTATTGAAACATACATATACGTTACAATGTATCGTAATCACGTTATCGCTTTCTTCCCGACTGATCCCGAAATAATGACGGTAATAACGATTATGTTGAGGAACATATAGGATATAAAAGCAAAACTCATGTTCTCCAATTTTTTGTTGAATTATTGCAATTTTATTGCTTCTGTATGCATTCAGTTAAAAGTTTTAATTAAAATTTACGAGGTTAAAGAAGTAAAAATGAATGCAACAATCGTTAGATCTCCAGATTTAAATTTCGAAAGAAGAAAAAGAAAGGATATCCATTTAGATTTAGATACCAAGTGTTATTAAAACGACAGGCCTAAAACTACATTATGGAAATTTCAAAAATTATTTTCTTGTAAATAAGATTTATCGAATCTATTTTTTCTTTTTGTACATTTATCACAATCTTAAAACAGAAACTGATGATTTTTAGTTAACTCTGCGTATATATAAGATTATAGAAAAAGGGATCCAACTCGGATGGGATTTTAATATATATCATTATGAACTTGAATACTCGTTAATTTGTCATTTATTGTTTATTAAAAAGTTATTAACACAAAATAAAGTGTTATTAATTATGAATTCTGTATTATATGTATATTTATTGTAAAGTATAAACGAGGATGAGGCATCACCTCTTCTTTTTAATAAACATTTCTATTTTAATGAACATTTCTGACTTAATCTACTTTTAATTTGAAATTTGAAAATTCTTCCTACATGTTTAAATATATGAATGAAATTCCCAAATTTTACATTATAGAATTAGATTAGATTTTTTAAAATTAAATTAGATTTGAATAGTAACGGACTTCTTCGCGTTTACTTGAAATATATAAGAGAAACATACAATAAGTAATATAGAATCCAGATTATCCAGATTTAATATTTGTTTGCATGCGTCAATGAATTACGATAATAGCTTTTTAATAAACAATGAGCGACGAAAATAAAACCTTGTAAAGATTGCTCAGATTGGTTTTGATAATGAATATCGAAGTTACTATAACTAATAGTAAATCCCCATTTCTTTAATTCTATCTCTTCTTGTCATTCATTCCAATCAGAACATTCTTCCAATCATAATTTTCTCAAAAAATGGAGGATTTGAGTTTTAATTTTTACCCTCTTGTCTTCCTCCCTCTATCCTAAGTCGTTTTCGTTTTGTCTGTTGATAAATGCGTTTTTCTATTTGTTCTACAATTACGATAACGACGCGGACAAATCGCGGATGTCGATCGTTTCGAACGTTTAAGAAAATTTGTAGTTATGAATGATTAATACTACACGCACGCTTAATCAATGGAATTGATTTTACAAAGAGACGTATAAGTGTACATCACGTACTAATTGCGCGGTAAAAGAGGAAAAAAAGAAGAGAAGAAATAAGGGAATTGCAACGCAATCGCGTACATAACACAGGCGTAATTTCTTATACATAATATAAATACGAAAACTGTAAATTAATGCGATACAAATATTGCGCGATGCATAGCGAGCGGTTATGTAAACTTGTTGACATGTAATATGTCCCATGTTCTAATAAAGATTTAGGATATTTTCTATAAGATATTTTCTATAACAATTGTTGCAATTGTGACGGCATCGCTTATACACATATTTTGATACATAAAATAATTACTAATTAACAGATAATTTATCAATAATTCCCACGTCAAGTGTATATGCAATCATGTCATCACTTATCTATACGAGAGTCGACTAGTTAGAGAGACCCTTATCTCAATAACGGCTGAACCGATCAAATTCTGAATAGGCTCAATTGAGCTCAATTGATAGCTTAGAATTTAATTATATAAATAATTATATAAATAACTGACTACGGCTGTGTGCGAGATATGCGAGGTAAGTTTGTGCATTTTATTGTACATGCCGACTAGAAACTTGATTAAATTAAACACAGTAAAATTGAGTAGAATCCCACATTGTTGTCCTATAATGGCCTTATCGCGTAAATCAAATACGCGCGTTGGACTCGAGTAAGTATTCTGGAAGTAGCACACATCCACATATTTCGTCTGTTTCTTTAAACACTATTTGACTA